CTATTGTACTTATTGTTCCTAAACAATTTAGATTCATTTTTTAGGGCAATAACCTAAAAAATGCAGTCAATGTTAACAATGCAATCTACTAGGTGGCCCCATTCAAACAAGCATAAAATTACAGCAAGTTTTTAGTATATACAATTTCTTTATAATACTTTGATCCTTTCATTTACATCTGCCATTACTAAAGGGACATTAAAAAATGCCAGGCTGTATAGTTAGTACCTACATTCTATATAGTCTGTCATTTTTTATTATGGGCCTTGCTTATCTCAAGAAATAATAGTGATTCTTTTAAACCTATGCCTTAAACGTAGTACCTTGAGCATCATACACCTTTTTACCTTTAACTTTCGGAAATCAAACTGGTCTAATATCACGTGTCTTTCCTCCGTAGAGAAATTTCTTTGGCTTCTCACTGTCTACAGGACAAAGCCTGGCAGCAGCCATTCCCAGTGCGGATCTGCCAACTCCCAGAGCCTCGTTCTCACCTCTCCCTCTGCCTATTTTTGCCTTCCACCAATTCCATCTGATAAGCTCTTCCAGTCATGATTCTAATTCTAGGTAAAGAGTTTTATTTCTTTAGGAAGACATCTGTGATACTATCTGTCCTTCCTCATTCACATACATATCATTAATTATTCCTTTTTGTAATCCTGCTGTATCTTTCAGCTACTTTCACTTTTGCATTTATCATATTTTATCATAATTGCATTTCGCAGTAAAATATACATAACACAAGATTAAACACTTTGCTCATTTTAAGTGGCATTAAGTATATTCACAGTGCCATGCAAATATCACCACTTGAGAACATACACATAAAATATTAATTCTCCATTGCAATTACTTTGAACATATGTATCTTACATATTAGTCAAGATAACAAAACTAATTATTTGTATCAGTTTTTCCCAGTATTTAATAACATGTCTTGCAAAGAAGATGCTCTATAAATATGAATTGAATTGTCACGATAAAAATAATATATTAGATTATTCCATTAGCCAATCGTATCAGATCAGTCAATTTCCGGCCTCTGCTTCACCTTGACTGCCACCTTAGGGAAGTCAGAACAGAACAAAACCGAAATTAAAAAAAATTCTTTGAGGGGTTTTCATTCTACAAAAAAAATTAATAGAAACAAACAAAATACATTTTAGCGTTTTCTCATTATGCAAAGTATGAAATCCAAGTTTTTAGCTTGGCATTCAGAGGTATCCAGAATCTGAGTCCTGTTGACATTTTCATCCTCTGACTCTGTTTTTCAACACAATGCTGTCTACTTTTTCTAAAACAGGGAGTTTTAGATTTCCCTAATCACCATGTTTCCTCAGCCTATAAGTTTCCTTACAATTTTGGGGTTAGGTAATAGTCTTCTTTCAAAGGTGTGCTAAAATGCTGTCTTTTTTCCTTTGTAAATAACCTTCTCTATTCTTCTGTGCCTTTACTTTTATTGAATCAGCCTAGCAATAATTTATACCTCAATAATATGTTTTTATGTCTCTTGCCTTCACTAAGGAGTAAATAAATGAAAATTTGCACAATAATAATTTATCAAAATGTATTATTTTATTTTTTCCATATATTCCTCATATTACCAAATTTTGCTGTGGGTTCTGAATAATTACATTGTGATAGAATATATATTTTGTTCATTTCGTATGCACAGTCAATATACTGCTTTTTTAACATGGTTGAGCATCTTTAAACTATCTAGGGAATTACTAGGGAACAACATGAAAATATTGGACAGAATGAACTATGCACAATTCATTTTTTTTCAAATAAGTATTAATCATAAGGCTCACATCTTTGTACCTACAGAAATAAAAACAAATGAAAAGCATGTAATGTATGTCCCAAAAAAACTGCTTTAGTTTTAGACAAGTATAAAATAAACTCTTAATAGTGGTGGTCATAGTGTATGCTGCTCGACACTAATGGCAGACAATCGTATATAAAACCCATGCTGATGCCAAATGATATTTGGGATCTTATGTGGAGTTCTGAAAAGAGCAAGAACCTCATGCTACAGATTGATTTCTTTTCGGGTGAAGTCCTGGATTAAATCATGGATGGACAGAGACATGGATCAGAGAAATAGACCAGGACTCCATTGTAGAGCTCAAATAAAGCAAATATATTAGGAGAAGTGAAGTGTGGTGATTCAGGCTTATAATCCCAGCACTCTGGGAGCTCAAGGCAGGAGAATCACAACTTTAAGATAATCTTGGACAATTTAACTACATAGAGAGACTCTGTCCCAAAATAAAATTTAAAAAGGGCTAATGATGAAACTCAGTGTAAAGACTCAGTGCTCCATCCCCAGTGTGTGGGGGGTGGAGGGGAGAGACAGATGAGGGAGAAAGAGAGGGAGAAAGGGAGAGAGACAGAGAGAGGATAAAGTGTATCTTCAAACCCATCAACCCACCCTGTAGGACTGGGAGTGGGCAATTGAGGCAGAGGCAGAGGAACAGCAAGACACACAATGCACTCTATTAATGACGGACTCTGGTCTGCCAACTTTCCAGACTGCTTTAGGCACTTGTGTGTCTGACTATTAGGAGGTCATTCGCAATCTAAGCATCTGTTCTTTGACTTCTCTTTTCTTAACTTGGGAAATGAATTATTTCAAAATGATGTTGAAATAAATCTTTTGCTATCTATACTGCTACCATCACTAAAAGAAACGGAGAAATGAAATCATTTCTGATAACCTATGTGATCACTCTCCATGTTTGCTATAAAAATTCAGGACACAAATAGGTTTGAATTATAAGGGCCACTTGTAAAAACATTTCAATTTAAATTTAAAATCTGAAGCAAAAATCAATAACATTTTCCTCAGATCCTTGCTCATTTAGCTGTAAATACAATGTTAATCCTGCTGATTATTATTTTTATCTATGGTATATATTTTGTTGGGCTCAAGAATTTGCTCTTAATATTATTTCATAAAACTCTGGTCTTTTGTCTAAACCATTTCCTTCACTTGCTTCTTATAATATTCATACTTCATCAAATTCTCCTTTTTACAGATGACAATGGTATGGATTTTCCTCAACTTATTGTTTAGGTTTTTACACTGATTTTATTATAATTAAGACACTACAAAGATTTTTTATACTAATTTCTGTTACCACAGAGAATCAATAACTTCAACTGAAATGTCTTCTGACTTTTTTCACTATTTCATCTTGAAATATTAATTTCACTATAAAGTAGAAGTTGAGGTTTGCTCAGCTTCTTAAAAATTACTAATTGTTTATAAAAAATTATTACTAGAAAACCAAAGTAATAGTTTTTTCTGACTCTGTGATGTCCAATATACACTCTGGGTAAGCCACACAGATATTGGAATTAACAACGAAGGCAAAATATCTCGAAGTTATTTATGAGCACAAAAGGTACTTTTTCTCTTATTTATACAAATGACTGAAAGTGGAAATCTATTAATGATATAATGCATATCATACATATAATGGGTATATAAAAGTAAAATTTATTTCACTTATGTACAAGCAATTTAGCACTCCATATTGTTATAGGAGACTGAGGTGCATTTGAGGGCAAAAACTGTATTTAAAAAACAGTAACTTCACTATTCCTTCACCAAGAATTCTTTCACTATTGTTCTCACATTTTTAAGTATAATTACATTAATTATTCAGTTGCAGCTTTCAGAAAAAATTTTCAGAGGCTCACTTTGAACATATAAGATACTGTTTTCCCCCTGTAAATATTTGAGCATATGATCTCATCACACTTTTGTTCATGACACATAGAGATTTTACTACTACCATATTAAGAAAAATTTGTATATTTGTAGTCACCAAAATTATGTATCCTTTATCTTTATCAAAAAATATTTTGAATAATGCACCCAAATAAATGCATATTTTAATATACCTGAAAGGCAGATCTTTTTTAAAAACCTGTTATGTCACTACTGTATATATACATTTTACACACTGCTGGGCTTTTAATCATATGGAATTTATTCCCCCTGTGAATGAAAGTTCATTACTTCTAAAGTTTAAACTGTTAATCCTAGAATGAACAAAGCATATGTAAACTCATTTAATTAACATAGGTTATTTTAGACATCAACAACAAAAATGAAGTTTGTACTGGACACAATTTTGTGTGGTTTGAAAATGTATGTTTGTGTGAGCAATGACTATGTAAATATTACTTTATTAGAAATTCCTTTATAGTATGTATTATTGATATTAGCATTCCACATTTTAAATTATTTAAAAACAAGAAGATTTTAAATTTTAGGATGTCCAATACTAGCAATACTAATATTACATTACTGATATAAGTTTCTGGGGGAAATAAGTGGTCTTGTAAATACAGATGGGGCTACTTTATTTGCTGACAGATTTCATTTGTTTGATATATATATATATATGTGTGTGTGTGTGTGTGTGTGTGTGTGTGTATCACATTCATTTAGGCACTAAAAACAAAATAAATCTGCTAAAGAGAAAAAAATGATTTTTTAATCTTAAAAAAAGATAACTTAAAATATTGATTACTTTTGAGTGACAGCAAGGGCTGAAGTTGGAATGATACCATTAGATATGGGCATGATGTTTATAGAAGATGAGAATAAGCAGGACCTGAGGCGAAATATGTACATATACGTCTCCAAGGAGTAAGCTTCATTTATAACACTCTCTAAGTTTAACAGATATTTCATATGTATTCCAGTGTTTTACTCCTTGAAAGGATTGGCATTCTAAGAAAGGTCTGTATAAGTCTCCATTTCACAAGTTCTTGATAGTTTTATTTTGGTTTCCTAGTGACATCTGAATGCCAGAAATCAGAAAACAAGACTCTGACAACTTGTTTCAACCGACCTTATGCAGAGGCATTTATAGAATGCGATTCGGGTTTTTGTGACTTTTTTTTAAGTGAAGTGAAACGCAAGAGATAAAAAATTATCAATATTGGGCCTCAAAAGGGGAGAAAGTGTGGTATGTTACCTCCTGATTAGCAGCAGCTAGTTCTTCTTCCAGTGCAGAGACTCTTTCTAAAGAAACCCTCAGTCGCTCCCTTACCTAGAAGAAAAATCAAAATATGTGCAGTAATGTACATCCCATACATATTAAAGTGTGCTAACTCACAACATCACAGAGACAATTTAGCAAGATAGTAAAGTATCTATAGTCCTAAGTGCCCAAAATAATAAACCTGGCAGGAGTACTATGAATACTTTGTCACCCCAAGTGACACCAAGAGTCAGTATATCAAGGGATTCTCTTGGAAGCAAATCCTTTTGCTGGTTCACTGAGAAATTCCATTGGGGTTGGAGGTTGACCAATATTGTGCTGAGTTCTGATTCATAATAAGTGGAAACAAAGTTCAAAGGTATGTTATAAATGTATCTGAGAAATAGTCACTGTTTAAGCATGAAGTATAGCCAGAAAAATATACTTCTTTAAAATAAGTAAATTTTCATTTGATGCTTATTAGCTAGCTTCAAAAATGATTTGCTTAAAACTAAAAGACTTTCAGATTCTAAAAACTGTCCACTGCTCCTATTGTTTGTATTAATTTGTAGTTTACCTTGTTTTTAAGGGATTTATAGAGTATTTAATCATTTTGAAATTTCTAACTAGCTTCCAGATACCAAAAACTAAATAATTATACTTTGTAGAACCACAAACTATCTGAGCTTGAAAGTAATAATGTTTTACAAATATTTCCTACATACCTGAAATTCAAAAAAGTATTACTTTGACTATTGGTGGAATTTCTAAAAATTGTTTTTGTTGTTGCATGTTTAGACTTATAGATATGCTTTATTATTCAAAAGTAAAAAATTCAGAGAAAAATTGTTGAATAAAATGAATGAATATAGCAGATTAGTTTTATAGATCAAACATGCAATTTATCACGAACTTTTAATTATTTAATTGACATAGGTTTTGCTTACCGTGATTCAATATTTGTGCTATAAAAACATATCTCAATCTTGTAATTATATTCCTGTGAAGTTTAATTTTAACTCAGTGATAGTATATTTCAATATATGATATTTTTTCTTTCTGTTTTAAGAAGATTTAACTAGGAATATGGGTTAAATATATGAGGTACATTAAAATCTATATGCATAAAAGTTTGGAAAGTGGAATTGATGTTATAGCTATGTAAACAATGCTATTATTTATCAATTAGCAAATAAACAATGTCAATAATATACTATTTGCCTAAAATCTAATTAGGATTTATTTTTTAAAGAATTGAAATCAAGTATTTGAATATTGCATTATGCAAAAACATGTGTATTCAGGTGACTAAGTGCATTTAACTCCTGAAACATATCTTAAATAAGCAAGACAAATACCCTTGTGACGTTTTAATATTAATTATATTTTGTTATGTTGCAAGTCTTTGAAAAGTATTAACACAGATACATTAAATATCAAAAACAACTGCACAGAATCATATTTAGCAGTACCACATTGACTGGTAAATGCCAGTGCTTCAGACAAATTTGTAATTATTAATAAAAAATTAAAACTGGTATTGAGCAAAAACCAAACAATAGCTATTTAGGAGGAAATTTTAAGTGTTTGTCTTGGAGAACATGTTTTTATGAACAGTTTAGATAGAAAAGAGGCAACTCTTCTGAAACTATGACAATGAGCATGACAGCTCATACATGGATGTGACATCAAGAAGGCTGCAATATAGATGCTAATCTAACCTATCTAACCCAGGTGATTGTAAATCTTCATACCCACTTCCTAAAGTTCCAACTGTAAAATATTCATATTCTATAAAATGCAAAGAAATTGTGGTTGATAAGAACAGAAATACGAAGCCATCTAAATATAATTTAATGACTTTATTATAAGCAAAATTGACCAGATCATACTTAGAATGCTGTGGAGAGTTTAAAGTACCATATTTGAAAAGACATCTAAGAGTTCTTAAAGTCATATAAGGAGTGGTTGAATCCAAAGTGTATTATAGGTTATAATATCTTTCTGACTATCTTGCTAAGTTGGTAATCTAGTTTTGTTTATCAAAGGTTATGCATTTTGATAACCCCATGATATAAGCTTTCAAGGAAAAAATTAGTAATCTCATTCAACCATGTGAAAATGGAATAATCACCATTCAATAACTTTAGAATTGTTTTTACAAATCTGATTGTATTACCCACAAAATAATTCAGATAAAAATCCATCTTCATGAGTACATAAAATTATTGATGAATATATTTCAAATTATAAAGTTGATGGGCCAGGGATTTAGCTCATTGGTTCCGGCACCTGCCTCGCAAGCGCAAGGGCCCAAGTTCGATCCCTGGTATCAAAAAAATTTTTTAAATGTACCAATAAACTCAATGAGAAAAAAAATAAAGTTGATATTGCAACTATCAACTCTGTGATATAAGAGTTTTACTCATTTTATATAAGTATGAATTATTCTCTCTACTTTCAAGTTTTAGAAGAGACACAGATAAATGGAATATGCTTTTCTATCTTTCACTTATCTCTGCTAAACTTAAAAATAAAAGGCAGGATGCAGAGCAGAGTTGAGGGCTAGTGATCCAGAGGAATAAATTTTCCACGGTGTAAAGGATGCTAACAATTTACCTGGTCAACTTCATTTGAACTAGATTGATAGGAAAATATTGTATAATATCTCTAAGCAATTAGTTTTATCCCTTTTATGAACAATGCACCAACAGAATATCATTCCTATTTTTTGAAGAATTTTATGCTCTTGTAAAGCTAGGTAGACATGTTTGATATGTCATAAAAATGACCATTTAAATTTTTCCAAGTGGACAGTTGATATAGCTTTTGTGTCTTTTAAATATTTGTATTTTTTAAAATTAAATCATTTCATTTACTCTATTATCTATGTCATCTTTTCCCTATGATAATTCAATTGTTTTATAGAGCTATAGTGTAACTTCCAACTATATATTATTTATATCCATATATATTTGCATTACTGGAAAACATACACAGGGCATTCACATTGAACCACTTACATCCCCAGCCATTTTTTCATTAGAAAAATTTTTAGACAGGGTTTAAATTGTCCAGGCAAGGCTCACACTCATGGTCCTCCTGCCTCAGCTTCCTATAGTGTTGGGATTACTAGAATGCACCATCCTGCCCTGCTTACATGTAGAGTTACTGATATCTAATTTAATGTTATATCCATTTTCTTCAAAATGGTATCAAAAATACTTAGAGAAGTTTTTTTTCTAACATATATTTCAAGACCACAAAATTTTTATCTCAAAAATTAAAAGAATCTACATCCCTGAGCATGAGAAATGTGCTGCAGGATGAAGAAAGATTCTGATGGAAGAAGCACACACTCCAAACAGAATATGGGGTATGGCAAGTTATCATACTGAGAATTTTCAATCCTGTAACACAAAACTCTGGTGAAGAAATCTTCTGAAACTAGAAGTTCAAATCCAATTTTGGCACTATGATGTTTGCTCCCGAAAATGTGCAGTAATAGGAAGGAATATATATTTAATCTTTTTTGAGGTACACTTACATTGCACGTCCAATATATCTGCTTTTGAAAAACAACAATCAGCAATTTCTGAGTAATTGCAACACACATGGGCTTTTCTAATTGTCTCTAGCCCATGAAATTGACAATCATGTTGAAGCTGATATCAAAGTTACTGTTGGACTTAGCTAATTGTGAAAATTATTTCCTACAACTCATTGGCTGTATGAACAAGTGGACAACAATCAAGACATCTGTGAATCACGGTAAATTCCACAATGTGGTCAACCTTTATAGCTGGTTCTGTTATTCGTGTACTAAACTGTCCTCCCTTTTTATATTTTATGTTTTGACATAATGCCATGGAACCTAGTTTAGAATGTATATTTACTTGTTTATATATCAACATCTTCATCCATCCCCATTCCCAGGAGAGTTGAATGGGCAATTGTCTATAAGGCACCTAGGTACATATTCTCTCAACTACTAAATGAAATGCTACTTAAACCAAGTCTGGGTCGGGGCTGGGGATTTAGCTCAACCGTGCGGTGGCCTGCCTTGCAAGCACAAGGATCCGAGTTTAATCCCTGGTACCAAAAAGAAAAAAAAAAAAAAAACAAGCCTGGGTCAACAGTGATGCCAACATCTTTACACAGTTTGCAAGTTTAGCAAATGTGAAGATTTACTCATACTAAATATTAATAATTCTGTTCATTATCATTAGTTGAGGACTTTTTGTATGAAAAGCCCTGGCTAGTGTGTTATATCATATCTTTAATTCTTTAATTATATTCTTGACAACTCTGATGTAAATCCTGTTACAATCCTCATCCAAATGAAGAGGAAATAGACACATACAGAAGTGAATTCACCTATTGGACATGTGTCTACTCCGGAGCTGAAGCTTACAATATTATCTTTAAGTTGTTGAGCATTGCTCATTTCATAATCAATTCAGTTGTCCCCAAACTCACCAATGAATAGGGCAGTTTTGGCGAGTTAATAAGTACTGTTGTATCTCCAAGAACCCTAGTAGAAAATATTTCATTTAATCACGGTTAGCTCACAGAATTTCTGTATAGTGAATTATTTCTAGATTCTAAATTTTTCTATTTCTTCTTAAATGGCACTCATGACTTAAACATTGTTTATTACCTTCACATTTTGGTAAACAATCATTTCTATATAAAAGCATCCCGCACATAACTGATGTCAGAAGGTTTAGTGGGAACACCCAGATTCATACGTTCTACTACCTTTACTTATTTAAAACTGTTCAGACGATGGGTTATAGATGTGAGTTATTTTGTATGTTTGACCTTCTGCTTAAAATGTATTTCTCTGCTTACTTGGTTTTTAATACTCCAATCAACTGTTACTCCCTCTTTAAGACATTCTCCACTTTTTTGATACTCACTACTTCTTTTGTGAGCTTGGGTTATATTGTCCACATTATTTCAGCATTGCCTGTCATAGATAAATGAATATCCAGTACTAACTTGGAACTCCTCAGACCATGAGTTGAATATGGGAGAAATATCCTATGTGGTCTTGGAAAATTCTACCAATGAACTTTTACGATAAAAGAAGACATATAGGGGCTGGGAATTTAGCTCAGTGGTTCTACCACCTGCCTGACAAGCGCAAGGACCCAAGTTCGAACCCCAGTACCCCCTCCCCCACAAAAAGACATATAAAAGAACTAAAAATTAAATAAATGATTATCTGACACCATATTTAGCATGGATTTTTAATTTATACAATAACAATTTCCACTCAAAATTATTTATAAACTACTTGACTGGCATGGCCAAAGTGAAAAAAATCACATACAATTCTCTCTTAATAAACTAGAAGACAGAATTATAGTTATCTTCATACACACACCACATTATCTGTTCTATGAACATCTGAAAGACTGATGATAAAATATATAATTATATAAATATTAAACAAAGCAAAAATCTCTGCATGCTCAAAAATTAGATATAAATAAGCAATAATCCCTAGTTTCAATTTTAATGCTCAGAATTTGTCATATGTTTTATAAGGAAGTGCCCCAATTCCTGCTGTACTAAATCCTAAAGATTTATTAATTTATAAAGTTCATTCCTTGAAATTTTTCAAAATTTAAATCATGTCATAAACCTTACTAATCTCCAAAGGATGTTATCATCTGTTGGTTTTTATATGCCAGTAGAATTTATTTGACTAGCAAGCAACAGAATCTTACAACTAAATTTAAATAGCCCAAAAAGCAAGTTTTTCTTCCAATAATTTATTCTGTTCCATGCAGAGGCTCTTAAAATACATATTTGAAGCCAAGATATTAGAGACCTAAAAATCAGAATGTTTCTAATATAAATATCTAAAAGTCCAAGTACAGTCAATTTTCATTTTAAATTGTAATTTTCAATTAGTGGTGTGCTATTTTGGCATCTATAGCATGCATTTCATAGATGGATAGAGCAAAGGCTTAGGAGAGAGAGTGAAAGAGAGAGAGAGAGAGAGAGAGAGAGAGAGAGGGAAGGGTGGATAATTTTAAATAATATTAAATTTCAAATGCCATCTGGACTACAGCCATAACATACATAATAGAGGAGTAATTTGTATAAGCAATAGATTTAGTGATAAAATAGAATAGGGTCATGAGCATTAGCTATATGTGTATATATATACATATATATACAATAATCATTTTCATTTTTAAAAGTGATTTTTTTTCATATAACTTAAATGTGTTTGTTTCTCTGAACTGACTTACGGAAGGAGTCAGGTGAGTCAGGGGAATAAGACAAGCACCTTGAGGCGAATGACAAAAGTCTAAATCACCTTGAACATTTTTTCCATACTGTACCTTTTCATCCAAGGCTTTGTGGTGCTCAAATAAAGATTTCAGTGCCTTGAGAACTTCGACTTCGCTAGAGACTCCCGAGGGGGACTGGGCTTGCCGTTTTACCACCGTCATTCTCAGAGACCTTTCATGTCGCGACACAAGGCACTCCAAATGCTCCAGTAACAGCTGTGGGATGTAACAGAAAACGCAATCACGGATACAGGCCACCAGTAGGAGGTGTGACACAAAAACACTGTGAATATTTAAATTTAAAAGATTTATTACAGTATTTCACCTTTTGACTTAATGACTGAAATATATAATAGATATTGGGAAATGGGAAGAAAAGGTTCAAATGAGAAGTGGAACAAGGGAGGGGAAAAGGGTAAGGGAAGGAAGAGTAAAAAAGAGAAAATAGAAGAAAAATATAGGAACAAAGCTTTTGTATGTAAAGAGGAGAAGAAGGGTCAAAGGCAGGGAGTGGGAAAAAAAGATGCAAGACAGATCATGTACAGGTACAGATTCTCTACGATGAATGAAATCATTGTGTATATCTAAAATTTATACCAACGAATGTTTTGCTTAGAAAAAGCTTTATTACAATAAGAGGACTTGCCATTAAGCTCCCTCAAAATATTCCTCCTGTTTTGAACACACTCATCCCCTGTTTCTGGTCACTTTCTGAAGAGTTCCGCAAGCCCTCTTAGTGAGTGTCTTGAGTTGTGCTGTTGTGGTTGAGTCAGTGTACTGAGTTCATTCAAAATGTTTCATGTTCATTTGCACTTTGGTGGGACCAAATTCACTAATAAAGGTGGGCGAAGACATACACTGTGATGTTTTTATGAGCCTGCCTCTCTGTTGGATACTATCAGTAGGAGCATTCATCTTTTTTTTTTTTTTAATCATACTATGTAAAGGCACTCATGAAAGAGAACATCCAGAACTACTTCAGAAAGTAGCAGTAACTACGGGATAAGTGTGTCTGAAGTGAGGTGGAGTCTTCAAAGGGATTAATAGCCATGTCTCCTTCACTGTAATATTTTTTAAAGTTTAAATATTCACGCTATATGTTTATTAAATCTTGCAAATTATCTCTATTTTAAAATATTTCAGGCCCACAAATAACCCCATTATAACCTCAGGTTATACAACAAAAATAACATAGAAGTAGAAGTCTGTTTAAACCAGATTCATAAAATACATTAAAATAAATTGCATTTCAATCATATATGAAATTATTGAAATTTAAAACATAATGTAAATATGAATTCTGTCAGCAAGTTCAGAATGCTTGATAAAATATGTATGATCTGATATAATTATTGAGAAATATTTCTTTTTTAAATAAATACATACTACACAATTGCTTTTTACAAAATATTAAAAGTCAAAATTTATTTTATTTACATTTGATGATTTGGGTTAGAAAAATGAGCATAGTCATCAAAATGGTAACAAATTATAATGATAATAACAAGATTTTATTCACATTTATTCCTTATCTTACAGGAAAAAATATATGAAACCAACTGGAATATAGTAACTGACATTCCCAGTGGTCATTTGGGGAAAAGGAAGTTAAGGTCATAAACTGTACTGGAGAATACAACAGCCAAGGTAGTCTCTGGGGCCAGCTTGAAGGCGAGTGAAGAGGCCAGGGAAGAGTGTCCAGGCTGTTCCAGTCTCTGTGCTCTGTTACTGACAAAATCTGCTTTCAAATGCTTTACTCATTGGAGTTTTCACAGTTGTTTCCATTTGAAAAGAGAGTAGTGATGACACATGAGAAGAAAAACAAATTTCTGGATTATTGATTATCAGTGATTATAAGTCTAGTGATGAAGAAACGTATAAAACCGACAAGTGTTCATAGGGGATAACTCCAGAAGAATACAGAAAAAATGTGGGCTAAGAAGAAATATCCTTTCAAAGTAAATGTGAAAATGAAATAAAATTGAATAGAAAAAAGAGGAAAATGTAGATATAAGATGGGAGAAAATAAAACACTTTTTTAAAAAATAAACTTATGAAAAGTGTTGTTTTGGACAATACCACTGTTGAATTTAGTGTTACATATTAGTATCATATTTCTTAGTGCTTTATAAATTAACTTTTCTACATTCATTGTCAACTAATTATGATTCAACATGCTAAAAATATCTTTGTCTTGTTGGCACAAAAAACACAAGTATCTGGAATTGTAAACATACATTAGTAAATAAAATTCATATTTAAGAGTCAAAATGATATTATAGGTTGAGCATCTTTAATCCAAAAACTTATAATAAAAATATACTGAAATCTGGAGCTTTAGAAGCTCCAGGATTTATTTTGGATTTGGGATGTTTGGATTAAGGATGTAGAAAATCCCATGTAAATACTCCAAAATCCAAACAAACCCTGAAATCTGAAACCTCTTGTCCCAAGCATATCAGAGAAGATAATCATTTTTGGATATGAGGATGACACCAATCTGTGCAGAGTATTTCTTTCATGTACTTAGCTGTGATTATATTTATGGTATTTTATTCTTAAGTATAAAGACACATTTGTACATTGGTTAAGTACAAGCTCTTTAATGTGGGTCATGGGATTTGTCTGAATTTTTTTCAGCTTTAATTGAGTTTATTGGTACATTTTAGGAATACAGTACAGTTACATTCATTGTTGGGATCTTGTACCTCTACATGACAGGTCTTGGTTCTCATTTTTTTCCCCTTGTCCCTGTCCTCCCTTCACTCCCTCCTCCACTCCCCATCTACAAACACTTTATTTCCATCTTTTCATTCTCTCACATTTTTTTCTTTTCCCTTTTTACCCTTCCCCTACCCGTCCCACCTTCCCTACACCTTTAGCTCCTTTCTTCCCATTTCTCAATGTCAGTAATCTTATTAGGATCTTCTGCATTATTGCACATTATTCACATCAGAGAAACTATTCGGTATTTACACATATGTGCCTTATTTATTTCACTTAGGAGTATATTTTAATATGTATCCATTTTCCTATGAATGAATCTATTTTCTCATTCTTTATGGCTGAATACTATTCCATTTTATAGAAAAACTACATCTTCTTTATCCATTTTCCAACTTATGGGCAACTAGGCTATTTCCAAGTTTTAGCTAATACAAACTGTGCTGCTATAAACATGGGTGTGCATACTCCTCTGTGATATGATTCTTTTAGTTCTTTTGGAAAGATACCCAGCAGAGGGGTGGCTGGGTCAAATGGAACCTCCAGTCCAAGCTCTTTGAGGTATCTCCATATTGATTTCCACAGTGGTTGCACCAGTCTGCACTCCCAGCAACAATGGAAAAGGGTTCCTTTCTCTCCACAACACCGCCAACATTATTTGTTGTGTGATTTATTGATAGCAGCCATTCTTGGTGGGGTGAGGTGGAATGTCAGTGTTGTTTTCATCTTCATCTCTCGAATGACCAGTGATGTTGAACATTTTTCATATATTTACTTGCTGCTTTTACTTCTTATCCTGAGAAATGTCTGTTCATTTTGGATGCTCATTTTTTAATCATGTCTTTATATTTGGGGGGGCTGGTTGTTTTGAGTTCTTTATATATTCTTGATAATAGTCCTTTGTCTGAGGAACAGCTGGTAAAAATTTTTCCCCCACATTGTAGGTTGTCTCTTAGTTCTGCTGATGGTTTCTTTTGAAGTACAGAATCTTTTTAATAAGATGAGATCCCAGTTGTTGATTCTATCTACTAGTTCCCGTGCTACTTAGGATTTGTTCACAAAGTCTTTTCCTATGCCAGTGTCTTCCAGAGTTCTGCCTAACCTATCTTCCACAAGACATTTAGAGAAGAACTACTGCCATTACTCTTCAAACTTTTCAATGAAATTGAAAGGGAAGCTATACTTCCAAATTCATTCCTGGAAGCAAGTATCACTTTAATTCCGAAACCAGGGAAAGATGCAACTAAAAAGGAGAACTACAGACCAATCTCCTTAATGAATATAGATGCAAAAATCCTTAATAAAATACTAGCAAACATAATACAGAGGATGATCAAGAAGATCATCCATCCTGACCATGTTGGATTTATTCCAGAGATGCAAGGGTGGTTCAACATACAAAAGTCAATAAATGTAATACATTATATTAACAAAGTCAAGGACAAAAACCATATGATCCTCTCAATAGATGCAGAAACGCATTTGATAAAATTCAATACCCATTCATGATAAAAACTCTGCAAAAAATTGAAATAGATGGTCTATACCTCAACTTAATGAAGGCTATCTATGAAAAACCAACAGTCAACATCATAGTAAATGGCCAAAAACTGAAAACCTTCATGTTAAAATCAGGAACAAGATAAGGATGCACATTATCACCACTCCTCTTCGATACAGTTCTGGAAACATTATCCACAGCAATTAGACAAGTGAAAGAAATTAAAGCAATAAAGATAGGAAAGAAAGAAGTTAAACTGTAATTATTTGCTGATGAAATGATACTCTACATTGAAGACCCAAAAAACTCCACCAAAAGACTTCTAGACTTAATTGACAGGGTCAGTAGAGTATCTGGATACAAGGTGAACACCCAAAAATCAATAGCCTTCTTTACACAAATAACAGACTCACTGAGAGAGAAATAAAGGAAAAAATTCCTTTTACAATAGCATCCAAAAAAATGAAGTATCTAGGAATCAATCTAACAAAAGAAGCAAAAGATTGCTACATTGAAAACTACAGCACTCTGAAAAAAGAAATTGAAGAGGATATAAAAAAATGGAAAGATATTCCCTGCTCCTGGGTAGGAAGAATCAACATAGTGAAAATGGCCATACTACCAAAACTGCTATATACGTTTAATGCAATGCCAATTGAAATTCCAACACTGTATTTCATAGAACTAGAAAAAAGAATCCAAAAATTCATTTGGAACCATAAGAAACCTAGAATAGCAAAAGCCATCTTAGGCAACAGACACATGGCACCAGGTATAACAATTCCCAATTTGAAACTATACTACAAAGCCACTGTGATAAAAACAGCATGGTACTGGCAAAGAAACTGGCCTGAGGATCAGTGGAACAGACTGGAAGACACAAAAACAAACCCAGATGTACTCAGCTACCTCATCTTTGACAAAGGAGCTGACCATGCTCAGTGGAGGAAAGATAGCCTCTTTAATAAATGGTGTTGGAAAAACTGGATCT